TACTTTCTAAGAAACTTCTAAAGGTTTTTAAAGGCTTTCTCTGGCTGTGTCCGGATATGTTCTAGTCATGTAAAGATTTATTATGTTAAAAATCAACTTCCCTGAATATTTTCAGTGTTTTTTTAATATTGATTCAACTCAACTAATTGTAATCTTGGGCAGCTCACTTAATCTTTCTAGATCTGAGTTTCCCCAGATCTGACCTGAAGATGTTTGACTGTAGCTATAACTTCCCCCTATTATTTTTTTGGGGATGCCTAGGAAAGTATGTTTTGTTTTCTTTAATCACACTGACAGGGAGCAGTTTAGAGCATTATTGGCATTTACTAGGTTGGGACCAAGCATGTTAACTGGCCTTCATGAACCTAAAATCTCTCTGGAAGGTAGAAACACTCTGTCCTCCCATGCCAGTATTGCCCTGTTAAGAAACAAATTGTCTCTAACTGACCTCAGTTGTCTCTAACTTTACAGTGGTTGAATCTGTGACTTACTGTTTATACCATTGACTTTTTCAGTTGGCATGTAAATACTGGGCTCCACATATCAAGAAAAAATCACCTTTTGATATAAAGGTAAGTATTTTTGGTTTACAACATACCTTTTAAATGAGAATGCTCTTTGAATCTCATTTTAACAGTTAATTTCAACAAAAGCTTTCCATAACCTCTTCAGAAGTTAAAACTACAGTTTTCTAATTTGCAAGCTAATAATTACACATCTTAGAAAATTTGGAATATATGTCATGCTTCGAAAATAAAGATCACAAGCCAGATATAAACTCTACTGTAAAATGTTGCATTTTTATTAATCTTTAAAAAATAATAGGTGTGGCTTTTCTTGTCAGAAGAATCTTAGATTGCTTTAATTTATTATTACTGTAAGTGACTACTCACTCTAATATAAATTCATAGGCTTTCTCACAGTACATTTAGAAAACTGGATATAACAGTTGACATTTGCTTCTATTATTTCTCTACACTTTGCATTTGAAAATTTATTTTTATTTATTGATATATACAAGAACTGGGGTGTAAGCCAGAGGAGTTGGGAGTGAGAGCATTTACCAGAGACTGAGTGGGGAACAGAAAGGGCAAATATACTGAAATACACTGCTGAGGGGAGCAGTGGGCAAGAGAGGAGAGGTTACCTACCTACACTATTCGCCCTGTAGGTTAATTTCCTGGGAGGGGAATTGAACTCATGCTGTACTTCCTGCTGATAGCTCTTAGTGCTGAGACTTAACCCTTTACACCACCAGGGAGGCCCTTGTCTCTACACATTTAATTTGCTTTCTGTGTGGCTTTGGAAAGCATGTTGTCACAACTTGTAATTCAAGTCTTCAAGTCTAATAACACTGATATACTATAAAATTAAGTTTTTTTTATTACAAAAGTTTATTTTTACATCATTTTGTACATTTTTTTCTCCATCTCGATTGTAATCCCC